GCGTGCAGGAAAGCTCTAGGTCAAGGCCGATACACCTGGCGCCACAACAAGGTGCTAAAGGAGTTAGCAGCCGTTGTCGACCAGGCTAGAATGAGGGCTAATGCCAGAGCCAGTTCTAGTATCGCCCCATTCGTTTCCTCAAGGCTGGGCAGGTTCCAAAAGGTAAGGTCAACCAAAACGCATTCGCTCCATCGGTGCTAGACTCTGCGAGGGACTGGTTACTGGCGGTTGATCTGCCAGGCCATGAACGGTATCCCGAGTTGATCCGTAAAACCGGCCTGCGACCGGACATCGTTCTCCATTCTGCGCAAAACGGCAGCTCATCCTGATTGAGTTGACGGTCCCGTTTGAGTCGCGTATGGAGGAGAATCACTTGTACAAGCTCGAAAAGTACAGTGATTTAGCAGCCGGTTTGAGGAGAAACGAGGCTTACACAGTAAGGGTTTTTGCCGTCGAAGTGGGAGCGAGAGGCCTCGTTTCCACTTCGCTCTACAATGTGGTTAAAGAATTAGGATTGAGCGGTAATGAACGGAAACGAACACTTAAAAAACTGGGAGAGGCAGCCGAAAGGGCCTCTAGCTGGCTGTGGACGCAGCGCAACAACGTAGGGGACGGGCCTCGGTGAGCTGGTCCGGGTATCTAGTGGAAAAGAGTTTCTTATCCCTTTGAAAGTCCATCGTGTACGAATTGTCTGCCAGTGTTCCTCTGCCAACTGCTAATAAAAGTTCAACATGTGTCCGGTAAACCAAAGTAAGCTTGTCGCTCGGTCGTCCAGGCACGCTGACTGTTCTAATTAAGCTGCCGCGGCGGCTTCTTATCTCACAGTACCTCCTTCGAAACCACTAAGTCGTCTTGTCTCTGGCCGAAATAATAACACCATCCGGTAATCTGTGCAGCGGGGAAGCAGCCCTGAGCTTCATGAACTCAGGTGGGCCCACCTCCGAATACGTTTAGGAATCGTGGGCCGAAACGTGTGTCGAAAGAGGATAATTTCTACTGATGACTGTAGATCCCCGCTGTACTTGCTCCCTGTGAGTTTATTCTTATTGTACCTTTTTTTTAAATTTAATTTTTACTGTTAAATCAGTGAAATGGTGAAACCTACGAGCATTCATCAACGACTGAAGGTCCAGTAAAGTGATGTATGCTTGTCAGTTCAGCAAGCGTATCATTGGAGTAGACAGTTTCAAAATGGATTGACTTCTAAAACAGAGTGTTAACTTCTCCATGTACCTGACTTGGTCATTATGACGTCACCGTGGTAATATGTACCCAGGCGTCGAATGCTTAACACTCTTAATTAACATTGCTAACAATAATGTCCGCAGGTTACAAGACAATGTCATCGTTATTATACGTTCTACCACACCTTTAAAGCTTTCATTTGGATTGCGCCCCCACCCTCCCCCTCCCCTTCCGCTCCTATGCTTCAGTTTAGACCGATGCGAATTGTTGCTAGGCATACAGAGTGCCTGCTTCGTTCGACACTTGCGACGATCGACTTAGTGTTCTGCTGAGAAAAACAGTCTTATAGAATAAAACTAACTGCAATGATACTCGATTTTTATCTTTGAATTGGTGGATATATATACACTAGTAATTATACTTTCGAAAGAAAGCAAATTTAAGCAGCAAATACAGATGACATATTTTAACCGAGCCTCAAGCAGTTTTTTTTTTTTAAGCAGTCAGTTTTAGTTTATATAATTTAGGTTAACTCTTTGTACCCATTTAGCTGAAGAAAGAAAAAACGCAACAGTTAAACCAGATATTTGAAAGTGACAATTGAGATAGACAAGATTCACCTTACAGAAAAAAAAAATCAAAATTTAGAAATAAATGTTTCATCGGGAGTGCCTTTCTGGTACTAAAAGATTTAAACACACACTCATTAAAATCAATCAGTAGAGATACAAAATTATTATGGCCTGAAGAGAATGAAGGACCTGAGTGTAACCAGAGGGTCTTGCTGGCTGACTACACTCAGAGGAATGGACGGACATATCATATTGTGACCGGTATCATCAGTACTGGAAATCTGCGCTGGCTGCTGAAGATGAGGACTGAGTACGAATGGGATTGCACCAAGTGCTGTGATGTCAATTCTTGACTAAACTCATTAAAATCTATTTTTTTCCGGATGATAAGCACATATCTAATTTAATTATCATAAGACCGTATCTAATTGAAAGTAAGAATTCACCGGCATGCACTTGGGCTAAGATAAAAATAAAACTGCCAACTAGTCTGAAAATCAGCATGTTGTTTGCTGCAATGTTACTATATTCAAAGCCTGATTGCGATGCTAAAGAATCCAGTGGAATCTTTACGTGGGTGAAAGCAAGAATTGGTTCTTGAGAATCAGGCTCTACTGTTTAATAAATAAGTTTATTCTGTAAGGTAACGGGACCTTGTTTAAAAAATACACATCCATGATACTTAATTTGTGAAACGTTTCATTTTGTTTAAGTGTGGGCGGCTGTTATCTCCATGACTAAGTGGTCAAATCGCTTACCTCAGGCTGTGAAAATCGTTGGTTTACGGATGAGTCGTTCGATTTACGAGTGCAATTTTAAAGTAGAACCTTCTGGATCGTCACACGAGATATGAAGTTTGTGCTTTGTGCGATGCTCTAGCGTTCAAAAGCTTTTCTGTAGAGATTGATTGAGTCAAATATTTGAAACCTCTGAGCATTGAACGCGATTTTCTTGAATTTAACGGTTCTTCGTCTTTTGTTGTTGTTGTTGTTATTGTTGTTGTTGTTGTCTCAATGATACCACTTGTAGCCCTTAATTTTGTTTTTTGAGGAGAATAATTTACAAAATGATTATGTGAAATTTTCAGCCATATCGTTTTAGTACGGTTAAATTATTTTTATATGTTTGTAACTTATATTTAAGATGAATGGCAAAGTTGGTGTATACATAGATAAGTAATATTCGAGACATACTATAAATAGTTGCAAGACATATAATTGATGGGGAAAAAAGTTGGCAGAGAGTTGACAGAGAATTATAGGTGATATTTTATATAATTATTATATGAAAAGGTAACTGAGGAAGACAGTCTGTCATGGCAACGACTAGGCTTCAACATTTTTGATATACTGTTTGATGTATCGTCACTTACACCATCTTTCTTATCTAATTTGCCTGAAACTGGCTTCTGCGAGATTTTGTCATTGTCCGTGACTGTCTTTTGTAGTACAGGACTGGCACATACGTAGAGAGGCAAACAGCCATTTTCGTGGTCTTGTCAATTTCTATTTTGCTGAGAAACTCCCTGTTTATGGCCTAGAAAAGTTGCCTTGCCTTTTGAGTAGCCAGCTCTGTCCTAATGTCCCCATTCTAGATTCCAGATACTCTAAGGTATTCGAAAGTGGTTTACTTGCGTCAGTGTAAACTGTCCCATCAAGATCTGGCGCTTCTTCACCTCTCTTGAGATCACCATGGATTTGGTTTTAGAGATTCTGATGGTTTTCCCTCTTGTGTCGAGCGCTTCCTTCCAGTCAAGTAAATTGAATTGAAGATGTGCTTCTGATGTATCTGTCATGGCCATATCGTCTGTAAATACTAGCTCTAATATACAGATTGTCTGAACTTCCAGTACCCTAAAGAGTACTTCTTTGTGTTCTACTTACATGTCTTTATGACATCATCGATCATGAGAATAAAGAGGTAAGGTGGGAGAATATCAAATTGTCTAACACTAGCAATTTTTTGCTTCTGCCGGACGGTGGCCGATGCATTTTTGCTCCATTTGTAGACTGGATATAGTTTCGTCGCCCAGCTTCTGAGTTGAATGCATGGCGTGACCCTGTGAGCTGCGGGTTGCATTTGGAATATTTTTTCGAATGTGACAAACGTGGTGTGAATTGTAGATTCAGAAAATGGCGCGATGCCTGTCGTTACAATCCTGGCGGGGCCCGTATCAAAATTGATCGCGCGGGCAACTGCTGATCTGTTGGCGACAAGTTCTACTATCATCAATGATGAACTGCATTTCTAATGTTGGACTGTTTGGGTTAGCACTTCGGATGGCTACCATATGCGTTAATGCGAGTGTATGCTAGATATGCTGAGACAGCAGTTTGTCAATCTTTCCACAAGGGACTGTGATAAACATTCTGGGTGTTTTTCGCTGGCACAGGAGCGGAGCAAAGATGGGGCGACTCGTTTGCTATGAAGCTGAAAGTAAGACTACCAGACTACCAGACAGCTAGTGTTCCTCAATTCTTTTGACTTGTGGTTTGATGTTCTTTCATAATGTCTGCAGCTTTTGTAGAAACTCTGTATTACACTTATCAGGGGTGCTGGAATGTTGATTTTTTCCTGCCAATCAGGCCCAGGGTTTGTTCTAGTGAGACTTATGAAATGCCTTTTGTAGGTTTAAAAAAAAAAATATTAATAAATAAATAAACAACAACATAGGTACATCTCACTTTTACTTGTATATTCCATGCGAAGATAGGGTCTTAATTACTTCGTTGTTTGTCTGAGTGTGTGTGTGTGTGTGTGTGTGCGTGTGTTGACTTGTATCTATGATGTTTTATATGACCAGAGTGTCATGATTACCTCTGCCGGTATATTTGTAGGTTATCTCACTCTCCCCGATCATGTTGATGTTCCTATTTGGCCTGGTGGGCATTGGGACGGTATCTGTTCTGCTGCTGCTACTGATCACCATATGGAGATCAGATGGAGACATTCTGCTCATGTATGCCGCCAAATTTGGCAAGTCGATAGGTGTGTATTTTATCATAGTCATTTAAAAACAATCAAAAATGTAAGTTCTTTATAGACTGTAATCGGAAAATGTTTCTAAACAGAAGAAAAAACAAAAGAAATATGTGAAACATTTCAGTCATACTAAGGACATAACATTTTTGAAAACCGTCACCATCCGTCAACAGATCCTATACAGAACATCGCTCTCTTTACTACCGACCGGAAACACTCTTTTACTTTTTCACCAGCCCCATACCGACATTTTAAAAGATCTGAACATCAAGCATGAGTAGCTAATAAACAGAATATTGTCTCGGAAGCTGAACTATTATGGTGGGCTACGGATATAAGTTACTTCTTCGATATAAAAGTGTACGAGGCGGGAGAGCTGGCGGGAGATTGAGTTTCTTTTAGGCAGACCGTAATAAGACCGACTTGGTGCAAAGAACTTGCTAGGTGATGATGATGATGATGTATCATATCTAAATCAGCTACTCCCCAGAGTGCGAGCTATGTAACTACCCCTACGAAACTGTTGAACACCATCTCTTTGAGTGCCCACAACTCAGCGAGACTAGAAGAATGATACTCCCTCCGAGACCAGACAAGTGGAGCACCTTGAACGGAGGAAAAGAACAGCTTGTGAAAACTTGCAAATTCCACTACATGGCATTGGGCCCAAGGACGAAAGCTCATGCACCGCTGAATCGATAGCAACAACAACAACAATCTAAATCATCTTCATTTCTTTAATCCACATTAACGGTGATCTACCTCTATCTTGTTTTTCGGACACTGTACTATATATTACTAAAAACTACACCAAAAGAAAAAAGGAGGATCAGCTAGAGGCAGGCAACGATCAAATGGGAGTATCATACATAACTGAATGTTGGGGAGCATCTTCACAGATGATGGAAGAATTTATAGGGAACTTGAGGCAAGATGTCAAAAGGCGAACGCAGTAACTTACCAACTCTCCCCACTGCTAAAACACCCAAGCATCACTATGGCACTAAAACGACAACTGATAAATTGCATGTTTATACCAACCCTCTGCTACCAATGCCAAACCTGGTCCCTAACAAGAGCACAGGAGAAAAAGATCACAACGTGCGAAATGAGATGCTTACGTAAAGCTGCTAATGTCACAAGGAGAGACAAAGTTCGAAACTAGAACATTAGAGCAATTGTAGGAACCACACCCTGCCTGCAATACATAAAGAAGCAAAAAATAGAGTGGTTTGGCCACTTGATGCGAATGCAAACCGACCAACTGCCTCTACGAGCATACAACGAACAGCACTACTGCCCTAGAGCAAGAGGCAGACCGAGAGTACGATGGATAGACAATATATCAGAGATCCTGAGTCAACACGGACTAACAACAACACGTGCAACACACCTGGCCCAAGATAGAAAACTGCGACTCCCCACTATGCTGTGAGGCAATTGTGGACAAGACAAGACAAGACAAGACTGAATGTATTGCTGCCTGAGATTGTGTACACTTTCTCATAGAGTGAAAGTCAGTATTTTGGAGATTTCTTGCCGCCAACCTTTATTGTGAAGCCGGAATTGCATTTATAAATGAAACTTCTTTTGTACCGATATACTCTTGTAATTCTAACCACACATTCTTGTTGCACATATATGCTGTTGTAATTCTAACCACACATTCTTGTTGCACATATATGCTGTTGTAATTCTAACCACACATTCTTGTTGTACAGACAGCCTTGCTGGTAAAGTTGTTTGGATCACTGGCGCCTCTAGTGGCATTGGGGAAAACATCGCCTATTGGTTGGCTAAAGCTGGATGTAAAATTGTGCTTACTGCTCGGCCCACGGACATGGACGATCTAGAGAGGGTCAAAGAGAGGTGTTTGGAAATTGGTATGTTTAATCTCCCTTATAACAATATTATAACAAGTACTAAATCTATATTTCCAGGTAGCGTCTAGACCTTCGTTTGCGGATCGAAGGTTTTGGCGCCAGGTCCTACCCAGCCTTAAATGGGTAGTATGTAACGTCCTGGGAAGTAAAGGCAGTCGGCGTGAAGTTGACCACATCACCCATATAGTGCTGAGTGGTCTATACTAATACTGTTACTACTGCTAAAGCTACTACTGCTATTAGTATTACTACTTCTACTACTTCCTTCTTGAGCTTTTTCGGGAAGATTCTAAGCCCCCGAATTTCGTCGCCCTGATGGTGGTCTAAAGAGTACTACATCCATATTCCAGGAGCGTCTCGACTTGCGCTTGCGGATCCGAAAGTTTTGGCTTCAGGTCCTGACGAGACTGACTTTATTTTTAAAAAAAACCTTCGCTTTTAGGTCGACCCAGTCCTGAGTCGGTACCAGGTAACGTCCTGGAAAGTAAAGGCTATCGGTTTGATGTTGACCACATCGCTCACCGAGTGTTAATTGCTCTAAAAAATATAGGTCTAGAACTGTATGCCCAATACGCCTGAAAGCATGAAAAAGTGTCCTTCATGTTTACATTTATAGTTCAGTGTCAGGGGTTGTAGGGGCGTCAAGACAGAGAAAACATGACTAATAGGGGCGTGTAGTCATCTCTTTTAGAGAGCTCTCGGGGGGGGGGGGAGCTCAAAGACGTTAAGCCTTGTTTTACTGCATTCTGTGGTACTACTACTATTACTAATGCTGCAGCAGCTGCTATTATACTAACACTACTGCTGCTACTGCTACTACTGTTGCTGCAACTGCTATTACTGCTACTACTGCTACTGCTACTACCGCTGCTGCTACTGCTACTACTGCTTGTCACTATAATGACGTCCCTATGTGGGATGCAATTTTTAGTTATTTTGAAGGCCTGATCCTGGCTTTTGCGAGGGGCCCCAACTATAGCCGGGCCTTAGATATGGCCCAACGGCTGAACCGGGTTTCCGGGACCTATCCTCAGGTGATCCTCATCCGCATGTTAGCACTTTGTGTCACCGGGTGTACTACTACTACTATTTCTACTACTAATACTACTGCTGCTGTTGCTGCTACTGCTACTACTACTGTCACCACTAATATTACTATTTTTGCTGCCGCTGTTGCTTCTACTACTACTTCAACTACTGCTTTCTTGAGCTTCTCGGGCAAAAGAAAGCGTGCTTAAAATTCAAAGCCCCCAAGTTCCCACGCCCTTGATGGTGATCCAGTAAAGAGAAAGTTTTCTTAAAAGGATTGCGGTCTGGATTTAGTCTCTGGCATTGACAGAATTATCATGTCCCACTGTTTTGCCACTTGATTGACCGAGTCACTTCAACTGGGTGACAGGTAATTTCAGAAATTATCTCTTGTTATCCTATGGCCTAGAATTCTAAACTGACAGTAACTATTATGTGCCTTTCGTGCCATCAGCATCATGTGCCCTGTCAGCGGCATAGCCCCTAACGTCTCTCCAGAGATCGCAGTCCTTGATATTTTGAATCAATTTCACTATGCTATTCCACACCGCATCGCATCAGACCATCCAGCATAGTCTGTCTTGGGCTACCTCTGCCTCTTCAATTCTAGATCTTTCCAGTCATAAACTGTAAAAGAAGAAGAGGCAAAACACAGAGACGCCTTCTCTTTGGCAATTATTATCACTGTAAATATTACGAAGCTGCGATTACCACTACTACTTCTATTTCTACTACAAATACTACCACTGCTACTGCTGCTGATACTATTACTACTGCTGCTATTACTACTACTCTAATATACCACTACTACCACTACTACTACTACTACTACTACTACTACTACTACTACTACTACTACTACTACTACTACTACTACTACCACCACCACTACAACTACCATCACCACCATCACTAACACTACTACTACCACGTACAATAAATGCTATTACTACTACAGCTTCTGGCGCTGCTATAACTAATGTACATCTTGCTGCTACTACTTTTATAACCACTACAACTACTATTGTAATGCTATATCTTTTTATTTCTACTATTCCTGCCACCACCATTCTTTCTACTACTGTTGCTACCACCACCGCTACTAGTACTCATACTTTTACTACTCTTGCTGATATCATGCTTCTAACACTTCTGGTGTTCTTATTATTTTCACTGACAACTTTTGCTACTGCTACTTCAACACCGACTACTTACGACAATGCTAATGCGGCTACCGTTACAACTGCGACATGTGAGATGCCAAACAGTGATCGCATAGCACATGATAATGAGAATTGCCACTATCATAGCAGAAATCAGCGCTTCTTCAAATCTATGTGAATTTTTCTCTCGTCTTTACTACATCCTCTATCGCTTTGAGTGTCAAGTGTTCTTCTTCATGCGTTTCTGGTCGCTTCAACCATTGGCACATCGTGCTCTTGTAGAATTTGTCTTGCTATCTTTACTATTTGTCCGTGGTTCACCTCCTGTTCTATGCCCGTCTCGTGGGTTAGTGTTTGCTGTGTATGGTCCGCATCAAAAGGAATTTTTCTCTAATTAAGCTAACCATTTTTCTTTTGGTTACCAGCTGTAAACTCTGGAGGAAAGTTCTGGTTGTTTGTCCACTTCTGAACTGCATTTCTTTTCCAGAATCTGAGCGTTGTGTGTGCATCCGTTTAACAGATCTGACACATTTGTGTGCAGACTGTTGGTTCATTACCTCTCAGGCAGATGCACTCCGACTTCGAAGGAAGCTTCCGATTAGTCGACTCTCACGACATGCTTTTGGGTAGGTAGTGGATCTATTATTGTTTTCCATAGAATAGGGCCGATAAATCCACACTGGGGGACCGGGGGAAGAGGGGGGGGGGAGGAATACCATTTGATTTTCTGTTCCTGTAGGTAATTTAGAATTGGTCCTGTACCGTATGTTTCCCTTTTGACTTTGATCTTTATTTTTTAATCGATTTCTTTCACCTAATTCTACAGGCAATAACTCTGAGGAAGATATACTGATCTTGCCCTTGGACGTGACAGAATTTGACAAACATCGGTCAGCAGTGCAGCAAGTTCTACAATATTTCGGCAAGGTTAGCGATATTTATCTGCGTCTGTGGCTTAGAGGCTGCAAACACGATGTGTAATTCTGAGTCACCTGGTTGGATTCCAGCTACCACCGATTAGCTGTCAGACCGTGGATTTCGATGGTTGTATCGAGAGTCGTTTCTTCACAAAACAGTAGAAAATTAGTTATTCTTCCCCCTTGAGCCTAGGATGACTCTTAGCGCAGAGGTCATAGCCCTCCGTGTATGATGATTCGTTGTCACCAGTTTAAGGTCTTACAAGTTTTTTTTTGGGTCCTATTGTTGAGCCCTTCCTGATAATTGTTTTATGCTGGGTCTCTCTTGGTCGTCCCCGTTTTCCTGTCCCATCCTGTGTCCATATGAGAGCGTCTTGTCTTATTTATTCAGTGTGCATGGCGTTCTAGCAGAGCTTTCTTATAAAACTTGATACATTAACTTGTCTGACCTATTGTCTTATTTGTGCATTGGATTTAAAAATCGTCCAATTGAGATTGAATATTATTATTCTAAGAAATTTATTCTCAAAATTGTCAGATTTGTTTTATGTGCCTACCGTTGCGTTCTAACTCTCGCATCCATAAGTTTATGACATTCTGGTTTGGGTCAAGATGGCGGGATTTGTTTTCTAGCTTGGCTTAAACCAGTTAATCGATGACCTAGAAAGCCGCCTTGGGAAACATTCTTTGTTTAATAATCATATTTCTAGCTCTAAATTTTGTAAATAGCAAATTACTAAACGAAAACTGTACCTAGTTAAACCATAAACAGCCAACGAACTTCCTGTAAAGGATATAGATCTAGGCAAATGCAATGTAAAATTTAAGAGATATATGTTGTCTGTGTTTAGTTAACGGTCAGTTGGTATCTTTGAGTACTAGTCAACCAAAGTATGCCTTTATTGGAAAGTCTGCACTTCTTAATAGTCTATAGTTAGTTGCGTATATATTTTACAAGACCTTGCAGGACCAACTCCAGTATTTTTTGGTTGTTGTGGTTTTTCTAGGCGAATTTTACTTTCATTAGTTCGACACGGCCCTGAAATTTCAGCTATCGGTACCACATTCGAAATCAACGCAAGACATATCTCCGCTGCAGGGATTAAACCCGGCACCCCGCATTTACAAAGCGTGTTCGCAAAGCCTAAGCCAAAGACGCCGACTTGTGTGTAATTCTATCGGTTTCTTGTATTCCTTTTTCTTCTTCTCTCCTTCGCTTGAAATAGATTATCTACATCTGCAATGTTGTCCTTTTTATGAACTTTGCTTTTTCTTTCGCTCGGCGACCCGTGATGTTCAGCTTCGACCAGTGTTTCTTTTGACTAGACGTTTTGCCCTGATATGTTGTATTTGGGGCAGTATGTGATCTGTTGTCACATAAGCCAGTCCTCATGTGCCACAGGGCTGATTCGTTAGTCCTAAATTGTATCTTCATAGTTAGTTAGTTAGTGAATCATCATATTATTCTCATTTCATATTAGACACGACGCTTAACGGCAGAAGTGGTTTATGATGATGATGATCATCATCATCATATTAGACACGTCCATATCCTTTGAGTGTTGCCGAATCAACGTAGACGCCTGAATCATCTTCTCGTCCTACCTGCTTGAGATCAATGAGAATGTGAGCTCGGCCCATAACTACATCGGCCATGCACACTGAATAAATAAGACAAGACTCCCCCATCACGCCCTCATATGGACACAAGATGGGACAGGAAAACGGGGACGACCAAGAGAGACCCAGCAAAAAACAATTATCAGGAAGGGATCATTCTTAACCTACCGTGGCCCTTACAGCAAGCCAATCCGTTCGTTCATTTCCTCCTACCCAAGAGTATCATGGCCCAGAAATGAAACTAATTCCTTCCATTATACATATGGCTGGGAAGTCGATTATGCTCTTGATTTTTACCCATTCTTATAATGTTTAATCGGTTCTAATGTACCTGTCAGTTCAAGTTCTTTTATATCTTAGCTGTTTTAGTTTGCCTCGCTCCCATAATGCCTTAAAAACGTTAATATAAGAGGTATCCAAAAAAATCCAAGTTGGCATGAAAGAGTGTTTAGCACCCGGCTATCCACGTAAGTGCTATTGTACACCCCATCCGCCCATCTATTTATTGCTGTCTGTCACCATAAATTTTTTTTTTTTTTAATATGCCTGTATGTGTCTCTTTTCATTGTATATATTAAATATAGGTGTATGTTTGCCTTCCCATCTCAATCCATATTTCCGTGTTTTTTCCTCGGTGCATTTTTTTTTTTCTTTTTTTTTTTTTTTTTTTAGTTTCTTTCTCTTTCAGAAATTGTTTCTGTTTCTGTGCTGATTCACCTCTCTAGTGCCTCTTGACCTCTTTTTTCCATCTCTTTCATTGTCTGTTTCTTTCTCTCACTCTCGCTCTAGTGTTCTGTTTATCTTTCTTTATCGATGAAAAGAGAAAAGAATATATCCACCCTTATTCAGAAAGATTGTCCTAATTTTAGTTGCCAACATCACCATGTTTGTGCGTTTATCTTTTTACTATAAATGTATGGGTATGTGTGTGTGTGTGTGTGTGAGAGAGAGAGAGAGAGAGAGAGAGAGAGAGAGAGAGAGAGAGCGTGCGAGGGAGAGAGACGACAGAGAGGAAAAGAGGAAAAAAATAAGAAATATGAAAAAACAATAAGTGAATATTAAAATGAAAACTGAGCAACCTCAGATCGATGTCCTCATCAACAACGCTGGCAAGAGTCAACGAGCAGCGTGGCATGAAGTGGAACTAGATGTGGATCGTGAGCTGTTTGATGTCAACGTTCTGGGACCTGTGTCTCTGACCCAAGAAGTACTGCCTCACATGATCCAACGGAAACAAGGTCATGTCGTGGTCACCAGTAGTCTGGCTGGCAAACTAGGTCAGTGGATGCTTTTATTTTGATTCCTCTATTTGTAGAACTTTATATATGATTGTTTATTGTTCATTTTAAAGATTATTTTCATCGCACATCGGACATGACCATAAGTGCTCCGATCTCCTTCTGAGTATCTCTTTAAGTGTATTTAGGCTAGAAACTCGCAGCTCCATTTGTTGCACTCACGGTATGTAGCCTACTCAGTGATGTGCGACAAAAGCAATAACGAAAAGAATGTTAGTTGCATATCATTTACAGGACACTAAAAAATCAACACTAGCACTTTTTCTTAATGTTTGGGATTTCACTAGACAAGTTTACGATAAGTAGTTTGCCATAGCTTTCAAAACTGTCGGCTTTCTATTTCACTGTTGAAACCAATGCAAGTCGATCTGCTGCAAAATTATCCGAAGCTGAGATCGAGCCTGGCACACTGGAATTACGTAACCTAAGCCAGAGACCTCGATGAAGCATTGTTACTGTCGATCCACTGAGAGAGTTGTATGAGAATACTGTGCTGTTAGAATGTATCATTATGCCCTTGCTAAGGGTACAATTTAGGAATATACTTAACCTGTTGACTGACAGGACGGAAAAAAATGGACGAAAATGTTAGTAGACATGCATGGCATTGCTAAAGTTGTCATCACACTCGGATTGTACTGCAAGGATCAAATTCCTGCAGCCGTAGACACCGAGGTAAGGGCACTGACAGATCATCATTCAGACCAAGAAGTTCTGATCCCCACACATGGATCCGTGAAGCGCGTATCAAGGTCACCACGGGCATTCACAGCGGAAAGAATGGGGAGGTTTGAGATTTGAATACAGATCAACATCTTGGCACACGGGTAGTAACCCATAAGTGCTTCATTCTAAGTCTGAGTCCGAAGAAGCTCAGCACCGTGCACAGGCTCTGTAGCACCGGCGAGGATTCTGAAATACTTTATGTAGACTTTTAATTCAAAATTGTTGCCCGGGCAGCGCCATTAGGCTACTCTTTTCGATTTACAACTGCCAAGTAATTGTTTTGGTGTGCGACAATGCACACGTACGTCCAATCTAACTACCCGAAGACCAGGAGGAATTACCAGAAATTACCAGGTGATTGAACCCAGAACCTTTAGCACTCGAGGCAGACACCATGCATCGAAACCACAAAGCTCCCCCCCCCCCTCCTTCCCTATTAGAAGGGGGGAAACAACGCAAGAGGACAGTGGCGCCTGCGTGACTACCAAGTCAAGCATGACGCTGCTGCTAGAGCAAACAGCTACACAGGCAGCTATTGTATCAGACTCAATAAACAACCTTTAGAAGATAACAACAGCCGTTATGCGCTCTGAGTGGGTAGAAAGCATTTAAAAATCGCACTTAACCTCCCTAACCTAGATCTACACACCTGGGTATGCGGGCGTAAAGGGTAAAGATGAAGCGGACTAACTAGTAAGCAATGCACCAACGCGTGTGGGAAGAATCATAGACAGAGCAAATAAAGTCGACGCTGTACGGACAGGGCTAAAAGATAAAGAGAAATCCATGACACTAACACAATTTTCCACGCCTTTCAGGCTAATTGAGTTTGTAGGGCTAGACCTACATTTTATAGACCAAACGGAAATTGTTGGGTAATGTTGTCAGCATCACACCGGCCGTCTTTGCTTCCCAGGACTATACCCTCAAGTCTAGGTCGACCAGGAAGCCAAGGTCATTTTTTAGAAAATTCCTTGTCAGGAACCGAACCCACGACCTTCCGATCCTCAGGCGAGCGTCTAGCCGATAGACCATTCGGCTCCCACAACCTGTTGCCTGGCGAACATTAATTATACATTGTTACATTATGTTAGTTGTTTAATACTTCAAGAGTTCAGCGAGCATCTGTTAGTTGTCCGTACTGGCATAGGATTGCTTGACTGGCGGTTACCTAAAAGACCATTCGTATCCGTCATTCGGGTCACCAAATACCAGTGGCTCGTGAGTGTAGTTTTCAGATTTTCGTACTCTTACTAACATGTGTACTGGCTGTTTGGTCAGTTCCACGATAATCTCTCTAGCGAAACTAGGTCACGTTCCATTCATAATTTTTTTAGACACGTCTGCTGTCCGGGGGGCTACGAGTGCCGTTGAATTGTTTCATTTCTATCTTGTCTTGCATTTAAGTGGGTTTTTTTCCGAAAAAGAGAAAGCCAGTTTTATAGGTTGCAGCACTCTCTAGTGGAGTTGTGTGTTAGATCCAGTTTTTAAACGTTTTTGTAGTGTTAAAAGCTCTGGCGTGTTTAAATATACAACACTCGATTTCAACGGCATTGCCCAACCCCCCCCCCCTCCCCCTCCCCTCCCAACAGCGTGCACGATCGGGGGACTAAATGTCGACCAGTTAGAATTGAGCCAGTCTGTAACGTGGGAAGATTATCGTGGAACTGATCGGCTGTACACATACCTGTGTGTTGAATTACGTACTTTTCATTACAGCAGCCATCCGCTCTCTACTCATGACAAACATGGGACAATCCTTTACCCCCACCCCCCCCCCCCAACTACACCCCCCCCCCCCCCACAAATCTTCTCGGCAACACTATATATTATAGTGTTACAAATTGTAAGTGAATCAGTATATTTTTTTTGCTCGATGCAGCACAATCAATGGCTTTCTGGTCGTACGACTGCTTCTCAGAGCGTGTATCAGCCACGTCATGCTTGCACATGTCGTTATATCATAGTAGAGGCCGTCAGCGACATTGTTTTCCGATCTTTGATTTACGTCCTTTGATAGTAAAGCTGTACTTTTAGACTTGAAACCTGAATCGTATATAGTATGGCATGAAAATGTAAATCAATATTTTAAGTTGCGCTTTATTGCACGCGGTACACTGGGAGTTGGAGTAATAGATACCAGGAAAAGAATGATGTCGTGTATGATCTTCAGATATGGACTTTCACCATTTCAGGCTCACCAAACTCGAGGTCATATACTGGTGCCAAACTGGCCGTTGCCGTAAGTACATACATTTTTATTGTGGGTTCTACTTCTGTAGCAGAGTAGAAACAATCATGTCTTTTTGTAGCAGAGTGGACAATAATATACGTCCTTTCCTAGAAGAATGGTAACAATCATACGTCCTTTCGTACAGTGTAGACACAATCATGTCCCTCTGTGGTAGAGTATACCATTTCATATGCTTTATTTTTTTGCGGAGAAGAAACAATCATTTTTCTTTTTCTAGTAGAGTAGACGCAATCATAATTCCTTTTTTAGCAGAATAAAACAAACACATGCCCATTTTTAACAGAGTAGACATGACGATCTGCCGTTGTATTGCAGAGGAGACAATCATTTGCCATTTTGTTGCAAAAGAGACACACTCATATTCCGTTTGTAGCAGAGTAGCTACAATCATATGTCATTCTGTAGCAAAGGAGACATAATCATGTGTCATTTAGTAACAGAGTAGAGGCAACCATACATTCATTGGTAACAATCTTTTTTGACAGGACATCAAAAACCCTTTTGACAGTGGTGAAACGTCGCAAGTTAGCTTGGTTCGGGTACGGTCTGAGATATGATATTATTGCAAAGACTATACTTTAAAGAATACATGGAGGGGAAAGGTTGAAGAAAAAAAAGGGTGGGGGGGGGGGGAGGCAAAGAAGACCTGGAGTGACAGCATCGAGATAACACACTTGTTCAACAAGACAGAGAAACAGAGAAACATGGCTGGTTTTGTGTGCTGAAGGTTAGATCGATATACCCCCTTGACCTTCGCAGTCAAGGTTATGTTTAGATGAGAGTGATCTTCTGAAAAAAGCTTTCTACATGATGCTTATGACGTAAAAGTAGTGAAGACAGCCGTTTTTTCCCCCTTTTGTGGCACATTTGCTGTTATCTGGCAATGAGACTGCTCGTTTTGTGCAGTATCTAAGAGGATTCTTTTAGTGACCGTTCACTGTTGTATTTGTGGAATACTTTCAGGGTTACTTTGAATGCTTGAGGACTGAGATCAGTAAACACAATATTGACATCACAGTCATCTGCCCAGGACCCACATTCTCGAACATTCTGTTTGAAGCGGCCACAGGGAAGCCTGGAGAAGTGATTTGTTTTATTATTTCCTTGTTTGTTACTTTGATTTTTGAAATGTGTGTCTGTGTAATATTACGAATTTCCCTTGTGGAGTTCAGGACCCCATTTCTGAAGAATTAAACAGTTAGTAAATTTGTGGTGACTTATTTGGAAGCTTCGGAGACACCTTGAAACAAACTGACTCACGAAGAAAACTGTTTGCCCACACCTGAAAGGCACAATCTACATTGGAAAACTGGAGTACTTCGTATTGGTAGGGACATTGGAGGGTAAGAAAGGCAGAGGGAGACCGAGAGAAAAGACGTTGGTTGGTTTGACATCATGCCATGGAAGATCATCTGTGTCACAGTTGTTTGAATTTAAACGAGACAGAAAGGTTTTAAAATATATTACAAACAATGCCACATGACATGGTCTATAAGAAGAAGACGAAACAGCTCTAAATTAAATAGGGAAAAAAAATAGATATTGATGATGAAACAATTTCTTCGAAGAATACTAAATCTCCTCTAGACAGATTTCAGATCCTGTACAGTGCACCTTTTAGTCTGTTTTAGAAGTCGTGGCCATTTTTTAAAATCTGTAATTATATAACTGTTCGATGTGAGTTGTTGTATGCGACCTGGTATTAATTGCGTCCTTGTAGGAATTTTTTTTTTTTTTTTAAATGTAAACAAACATCCAGTTTTCTTGTTGTCGCGGTATACACAACAGACATCGAAACAAAACAGCAGCATGCTTACAGTTTACTGAGTAACGGGAGCATTTCAAAACATCCAATTGCACGCGTATAATAGGCGTTCCACTCTCATGTGGTCATCTCCAGCATAAGCGACCTGTGAGTTGCGGATTTTTCATTATATTTGGGCTAGTAATCGCAACACATCGCTGCATGTGTAGACTGTTTTGTAAACAATATCCACGCCTGTGTCAGTCTCTGTATAATTTTTTTTTTGCGGGGGGGGGGGGGGGGGGGGGGGCACACTATTTATAAGACAGAAATCAAAGAAATTCGCCGCTCTAGGAAAACAACAGCACCTGTGCAATTGTAAATAAGACAGTCATTCGAAAATGGAAAATATAAGGCCACCTGCAAAAATTCTTGATAATGCGAAATTGACTTTTCAAGATATTTGTTAAAATATTTTCATATTTTTAGCAACATACTTTAGCAGAAAATAACAACAAAATGGCTCTAACCGTTATTTTAAATGCAACTGCAAAAGAAGAATAAGTAAGTAAAGTGAAGGTCCCTTGTCCACGAATTCAGGTGTATAGGGAATATGGGGCTAGAACTATATTTTTATGGACCAATCGGCACAATATGAGTGTTGTGCCAGCATCTCGCAGGCCGCCTTCACTTTCCGGGACTGCGCCTGGTACCCACTCAAGGCTGGGTCAACCTGGAAGTCAAGGTCATTTTTGAAAAATGTCTGGCTCCACCAGGGAGCGAACTTTCCGATCTTCGGCGAGCTTCCAGCCGCACCGCCACACCGTCTCCCAGAAGAATAAGTACTGTTCCAAAAATTTCGAGATTACTGCATATTTTTTTTTTTCACAGACGATGGGCAGAAGAATGAGCCGGAGTGAGAAGAGGATGCCAACTGACCGCTGTGCATATCTGTACTGTGTAGCCATAGCTAATAAGTTATCTGAGGCATGGATATCCCAGCATCCCATTCTGACTACTGCCTATATTGCACAGTATTTGCCTGATATTAGCCGATGGTCAGTTCATAATTGTTTCTTTTGTTCATGAGTTATTATTCTTTGTTCGGCACCATATGGTGAACTTCTCTTTTGTTGCTGGCAGCTTTTCTACTTTCCCTTGTTCTATAAAGAGGTATAGGTACCACAGGTAGGGCGATTTTGTCTAACAAGACATGCTCGGATTAGGAAGAATCACTCACGCTAGGTGCATGGGATTTGAAGATCATGGACATCTTTGTTCTCAGGCGGAGTCTACCAATCAACAGTTTAAGATCCCTCGTCAACAATTGGTTGGGCCCATAACCTCCTAGACAACTTCAGAGGGTGGACCAATCTAGATCATCCCAGGCCTTGATCTTCTCCTACTGCACTTAACCGGATGTTCACGGACAGGGACAACATAAACATTGTGACTATGCAAACGGGTTCTGTAAGTTTTGAAGTTAGATATATGTATAGTCTCTGCGGTAGCCTAATAGATCAACCGGCTTACCTTAACGACCAAGTGGTAAGCTTACGGTTAGTTCATTGTACACATGATAGACTTTGCAGAAGAACACTGGCGGACATTTCAGGCACGATGGCTTTTTAGGGAATAAGACTTTCTTATCCACTAGAAACCCGGACCAGACTACCGAGGCCCGTCCCCCACGAAGTTCCGTTGCGTCCAGAGCCAGCTCGAAGCTCTTTTAGCAGCTTCGCTCAGTTGTTTAAGTATAATAAGTAGAACCCTACAGGGAAAGCATACACAGCAGGATTCGACCGTTCTTCAGTAAGTGTCGCCCCTTTCAACAATTGTTTTTGCCCGTTTACCTCCATAGACAAACTCTGTGAAAAAGGGGGAGGGGTGCAGAAGAGCTGGGTCATGACTCCAGGCCTCGGACCATATCCTGCGGCGCTTAACATCAGTCGGACAAGACGTTATAGTGATTTGCAATAATTACTGAGGTTATGGTGATTTATAGCAACTTAATCACCTACCTGCATGATAAGAGCGACAAATCTGCGGTTGGTTCATCGGACAGACGTTCATCGGACAGACTTTGGCAGTGGCAGTAGCACATGCAGACGTTAACTGGATAACTTTGGCATCAAGGATTTAAATGGTTTTTTTTTCCACTAGGGGTTTGGAGCAGTCTACCTTTAACTCTTAACTTTTTAAATCTCAAGCACCGCAGGATCCGTGATTGTTAACTCTTTAATTCCGACAGTCATAATATTTTTTTTTTTTTTTTTTATGCTCACATTTGGTTGGGACAGTGAAAAGAAACTTGAATTACCCAGTGGCGTTTTCAATAGTGACTTAAACTTCTTTAAAGGAAATAGAATTGCGATTTTTCATATGATCATTTGCTCAATTTGGCATCTGTTTTGAAACATTTATAGACTGAAGGCGGTAACCAGATTTCACATTTGTTCTTCATTGTCCCTGTGTCCCTTCTATTATCCCTCCTCATGGCAACGAGATCCAGGGTATCGTGTTTCCATGAATCCGCATCACTTCTTCTTCTTCTTCTTCTTCTTCTTCTTCTTCTTCTTCTTCTTCTTCTTCTTCTTCTTCTTCTTCTTCTTCTTCTTCTTCTTCTTCTTCTTCTTCTTCTTCTTCTTCTTCTTCTTCTTCTTCTTCTTCTTCTTTTTCATCTTCTACTTCTTCTCTATCTTCTTCTTCTTCTTTATCTTCTTCTTCTTCTTCTTCTTCTTCTTCTTCTTCTTCTTCTTCTTCTTCTTCTTCTTCTTCTTCTTCTTCTTCTTCTTCTTCTTCTTCTTCTTCTTCTTCTTCTTCTTCTTCTTCTTCTTCTTCTTCTTCTTCTTCTTCTTCTTCTTCTTCTTCTTCATGTCCATGTAGCGTGGCGGTGGTAGCCATGTCTATCCACAACCTTCTGTCTCGTGTACTTTTAATTAGCTCTGACACAAATGATCCTCCATGCCTAATGTTAAACTGTCCTACTCTTCTCTCACGGTCTCCCTCTGCCACTCCTCTCCTCCTACTCTCCCCCAGCCGCGATGTACTCCAGTTTTCTCCTTCTCATCACTAGACCAAAGAATGTAGATTGTCTCTTTCTGACGTGGGCAATCAGTTATCTACTTGAGTCGCTTTCAATACATCCTCATTACTTGTTTTATGTGTCTAAGGTATTCTTTTTATTCGTCTATAAAACCACATCTCCGCAGCTTCCGAATAATTATTTAACTAAACTACGGACTGTGTACGATTCACCTCTATAAAAATCCTGGGTTAAACCTTATACCTTTAAAACGGAAGGTACAGTGGGGCCAGTAAACTAGCGCTTTTTCATGTGTTTAATTAAAAAAGAAATTTTATAATAATTTCATGATAATTTTTTCTTCAGGCTGTGGAAGAATTATGGAATGAAAAGCATGGAAAAGATGAGAGAAGGAAAGTGATGTGTGATTTGTCAGTTTACTGAATGAAAATGCGGAACTGCTTCATGTAAATGTTTGCTTTATGTTTATTTATACAAGCAGATCTAGATTTATGTCTAATGTCACAACACAAAGATCAAGATTTATGTCTTTATTTCATAATCTTTTCGAAGTACCTCTTTTCATAGAAAAAAAAATATGAATAACTGTTTTATTCTTTGTTGTTGTTATTGTTTTGTTTTTGTTTTTTAATGATATGCTAGTAATTGTGTGAGCGGGTAGGGGTGCTCAGAAAAAGTGACAAGTACTCTTTGCACTGGATCTAGAAAAAGAGCGCCCGTGGTCTAATGGCTGTGCACTCCTTTGAAGGATGGAAGGTCGTGGGTTCCAATCCGCATTCCACATCGAGCAGCATTTCTAAAACTTACCCCTGCTGTGCTGTGGACTAATAATAAAATCGGTAACCTGTAAAGTCTTGGAAAGTAAATGATGCCGGCGCGACGGGTAGTATGCAAAAAAAAAAAGCTAACTGGATACACCCGTCTAAGAGCATGGAAAAGAGTCCTTACTTGGGAGTTGCAGGCTCACTGCGAGTCACCTGTGTGTCTCCAGGCCCAGTGGTTGAAAGCACAGTCACAGAGCTGCACATTCATTACTAAATATCTTCTTCTTCTTGACTTCTCTTGTACATCTTCAGGTGTCGGAGATATTTGGTTCTGGTGTTTGCTCTTCTAGCAGCCTCGACCAAGCAGAGTCGTAGTTTTATATGTTATCTTTGCGTCATGTTTTTTGTCAATACCTTGCTTTGCCTCCCTCTCTTCTTTCGGTATATACCTCTTATGGTATGGAGTCAGGGCATCCCATCTAAGTGTGCAAACCATTGCATTGTTGTTGTTGTTGTATGTAATTGAAGGACAACAAAATTTCTTTGGTCATGTGATGAGAAAAGTAGCACTGGAAAATGTGAAGACTGGAAAGACACTGGTAGAAGAGGCAGAGGCAGACCAAGAGAAATAATTTTGGATTATTTAACACAGTGACATAGATGAATATAATCTGTGGAATTGATAAAAAACAGTTAAGACCGAGATTTGTGGAGATGCATGCACGCCTACGCCAGCTGGTAAGGCACTTCATAAAGAGGTACATAAGGAGTGGTCAGGTGCTAACCTTTGCTCGTATTATGCTTTCCCTCATCTCTCCTCCAGCCTCTCTCGGACATTAAATTGAAATGGTTACGATCGTGTCGTGTTGATCTGTTGTAAGTAACTCTGTCTTGCACTGGTAGTACGGTATGGGAATCAGTATGCTCTGACTAAGACATGCATACATGCTTTTTATGAATCAGCAGTGGATATGTGCTTGAGAACCTCTTCTTCTTCTTCTTGGCGTTCACCGGCTGTAAACCCTGGCGGAAAGTTTTAGTTGTTCGTCCACTTCTGGACTACAGTCCTGTTCTAGAACCTGAGTGTTGCGTGTGCATCCTTTTACATATCTGAATCATTTGTATGCATACTGCTGGTTCCTTTCCTCTTAGGCGGATGCTTGTCGACTTCGAAGGAAGCTCCGATTAGTCGACTCTTACAACATGCTTTTGGTAGGCAGTGGGTCTATTCTTGTTTCCCTATAATAGGGATGCTTGAGAATTTTTACTACAGTGTAACTTTCTTACTATTCTTGAAATCCACGGAACTTCACATTAACCTTGCCCACACAGCAAGAGTTCCTTCCCCTCCCATTTATGCCGCGGCCGGTAGTACGGTCTGTCCTATGTTGTGGGGGTTGCGATGACTTTCTTCTATCTTCTATCTTCCTATCTCACACACCGACATCACACGACGAGCAGAAAATGAACGACTGGGAAAACAACACGAGACTGTTTCTGCACTTTATTCTTCTACTCGCGGCTTCCTCAGCCGGCACATGAAATAGACTACTGTCCAGGCACACATTATAACTCAAATATCAAAAGTATCATTATTACCTTTTAGCAGAAATCACAATCGTCCTACCACAAGCATAATGAACGAAAAAAACACAACAGCTGTCCTGACGGAAAACTAACACGGCCGGCAGACATGTTGCCTGCTAGCTTGTTTTGAGAAGTTTGACGTTGGAATAACACTCACTCTCAAACACATGTTGGATCCACACACCTTCCACCGTTGTCCATACACTCCGCCCAAACGAGACTGACTCCCAGCCCTTTCTACGGCATTATATAGCCTTCTAATTCCCCTCTTTGTATTCTCGAATTCTCCGTGTTCCCTGATTTATCCAAATTCTATTTGGCCGGCAGTTTGTGTGACCCCCGTGACTAATCATACTTCACGCGAAGTTTGACTATCAACGTTTCTCTTTAATTCCTGTGAAGTTAGGCTATCAGTAATTCCCGTGTTGTCCCAGTTAGACTCAAAATATTCCACTCACATTTATTACTGACGTCATTCTGTCTAGGCATAAATTATCTAGGAGAAAATGAGATTCACTACAGGGGTGTTATGAGATTGCTTCGTTGGGCGTTCGTACAATGTTTGTGGGAGGTTGTGTTGTCGTGAATCTCTTTGAGGCGCTACAGGGTCCATGTACAAGTAAGAAGTACTGCCGGAAAAGTGCAGTATAAGAGACTTTTTGTAATTATCAAAACATATGTTTTTGTTTGCCTGCATTTCTAGGCGGTACGCCCATTTCCAACCACCCCCCCCCCCCCACCCCCACTTTCCTTTCCAGAAATAGAAGACATTGACAAGGAAGGCAGAAATATTGTTGAAAAGGGATACAGGACACCCCCACAGCATAGGAGAGGCCTTGCGACCGGCCGCGGCAACAAAAGGAGGAGAAGGAACTCTCGCCGTGTGGTCGAGGTTGTGATTAGTACCAAATCCACCGGAACGGTCTTTACTAAATCTTTAGCAAGGAAATCGACCGGTGTATGTCGAATATTGTGAAATGTCTACACTAATCATAGGCCACATTGCATCGTCTAAACACGATACAAGAAAAAGGCTGCCGTTATTGACAAAACAATCCTTTCGTAAAGTAATACTTTACTGTGAAACCTTTTAAGTAAAAAGGAAAGATCCCTTTTCACGCCTTAGGCGTCCCATATATTTACAGACCAATCGGCACTGGGTGGGTTATGTGGTCAGCATTACGCCGGCCGTCTTTACTTTCCCAGGACAGTTGTCCGGGTACCTATTTTAGGCTAGGTCGACTTGCGACAACCCATACCATGATAAAAATCCACGCAGCCAGCAGTGGGTTTTGATCGCGGTTCTTTGGATTACGTGTCGGACTCCCAACGCCTAAGCCACAGACGCCGCGTAAAACCTTTGCGCAACCCACAATGAATGTCTTTGTTCTTCTACGCAGTCTGTGACATGCTATGGATTTATCCAGCTTTAATCTAATGACATACACACGTGGATCCGACTTGTTTGGGATGTTTGTGTAACTCATATTTTCCAATGTTTGTTTCAAAATTCAATGAGCTACTGTTATAGAGCAAATGTCTTAGCTTTTAGTGCCATATAGTTCTTTCTACATACATCGCAGAATTAGCTAATGTGATCGCTATCTACCGACTATCTTCCTGATATCATCGTTCCTAAGTCGGTCTTTTCTCGTTACACCTAGCATAGCGCCTAAACATTTCATTTCTGTCGTGACTATTTTCCTTCTGTCTTCTGAAGACAGTGTCCATGCCTGTAATTGATAGCATAGCGTTGGTAAGAATATTTTGCTGAGCAGTGTTCTTTCAGTGTTCATATTCAATTACTTGTATTTCAAAATTGGTGCCATTTGACCTAAAACTTAAGTGGCTTTACTGCATCTTTGTTGGATTTCTTTATTACTTTTTCAGTCTTCTGTAAAAAATACTCTCTAGATATGTAAAATCCTTCTTCTGCTTTTACTTGTGTTCATCAGTTTTTTACTTTTTTTTGTGGGGGGGGGGGGGGGGGGGGGGGGGTGTAAGAATGTCATCATTTCTACGTTTTTTTTCTTTATATTATATTATAAAAGTCGCATTCAGAGGGGAGTCTATTAATATGTTCTTGCTTGTAGCTGTACTGCTGCTGGTGCTATGATTGTCTGGTCATGGGCAAAAAGCAACTCATTTAATAATTCTCCGATAGTGTCCTCTTCGCTGGTGTTAGCTTAGTTGCATATTTGGTCGATGTATGTGATAACACGGGTCTGTGGCTAAGTCAATGCGAACGCTCCGAAATGACGGGATGTCGGGTTCGATCCCAGCTGCGGGCCATGCGCCTTGTGTTGGTTTCGACAGTGGTATCAAGAAAGCCGACCGTCCAGAGCGAAATGGCAAACTACTGGACTTAAATTTGCCTAGTAAAACCACACAACAGCCAGGGGCTGTTGGGGTTGGTTCTGCAACGTCCTGTAAAGGATACGCAACTAGCCATTTGATGAACAGTGGTGGTGATAGAACGCACCCTCTGTCTTACTTCATATTTAATGTAGAACTGTTATGACATTCTTGTAAATTCAAAATCCAAGCTATTATTTTTAAGACACGTTTATGTAAGCTCAGATGGAGAATGAACAAATAAAGAAAGTTTTTAATACAAATGCGCGCACTATCTTCCTACGAATATCCTCTATGCATATGAAGCGTGAAGCATGAAAAAAAACAAACAAAAAAAAAACTCACCGACAGGCATAGTGATCACGTGAAAATGTTTTTGCTGACTATAAATAAATTCACATTTTGAATTCCCCCCCCCCCCCCCCCCCATTTTTTTTTTCTCAACCACCATCACCAACGTCCATACAACAAAACATATAAATTATCGTGATGATTAACAGTGTACATGAAAATGGCGACTGGTAATAAATACATTTCACTCTAATATTGTTTAACAATCAGCAGCCCGGCTCTCTAGCGTAGTTGGCTAAACCTGACTTAGCGGTGACCGGGTGACGAACTCCTTGTGGTCGAAGTTCACTCCCGGGGGGTAGGCAGAAAAGCCACATTTCCCCCAGATTTACGGTACCTGTCA